GTAATTCCAAAACAATCAGCATCATGGACCCAGAAGATTGAATCTCTTTGGACAAAAACGAAGAAAAATATGCCATGATAATCCAAACAGTTTATGAAATAAAAATGTGTGATACATATTTCATCTCTCCGAGACAGAATGTTTATCCCAGTTACAACAATGGAGGGAAGTGATCCCATCTTCGTAAAAACAGTCGCAGATTATGATTTCTTGGATTTGATATATCCGAAAAAAATCTTGCAGAATTAGCAAGATTTGATGAAATGCTAATACAAGAAGTATCAAAATTTTCTAGATGACGAAGAGTATACTTAAATTTTCCTCAATTAGTCAAGAATTTGATGGAGTTGTCTACTATCTAGCTAATCATATAATCTCAATTGGATACGTTGCAGCCAACTTCAACATATATGTCATGGAGAATGATAAAAGAATGCCAAAAATTACTAAGTCATGGATAAGAAATAGAAGAGCACTTGGAATTAAGGCAATATACAATATTGCAAAAAATTTATATGATAAAAATTTCTCATGTCTTTGCTATATGAAAATTGGATGCTGGTAACTAATGGAGGTTATGGAAAGTCCGAAATACTGAAGAACTACATTAGAAAATTTGACATACATCAATTCTCAGGATGTCCTACCATCATAAAAGAATCTTGCCAACTGCGGGAGTGTCCAAGCTGCATGCAAAGATGTAGGACCGAAGGACAAGAAGATAGAAGGGTGGAGCCCTGAATAAAGAAGATATGAAATAAATCTATTTGTTTTGTGTAATAATAGAGCCATAATAATTTAGTGGTTGAGACTTTTGATAAAGCTCCATAATTGGACAATGATATAATCAGTGATGTAAGAAGACATAATATTGCCTCATTTGCTTGTATAAATAGAGGCCTTTATGCTAGATGAAAGGCAGAACGAATTGGAGAAGAAAAAATCGAGCACTCAACTTGTGAGAAAGCCAAATCTTCTGTTTGAATACCAATCTTTCAATATCAATACTANTAAATCATTGGAAATAAATCATTCATACTCCAATCCTTTTGAAAAAGATATGAATCTCTAAATCTTTACTCCCATAGATTCTTGAAGGGTCGAATAGAAAATATTCATTCTTATTTTAGCATTAAATAGAGTTTTTCTTTAACCCAAGTCTAGAGAATTGTTCTTAGAAGTGATACAGTGATAGTAGAAAGCTGGAATAGCAAGGACCCCATTAGGCAGAAGGCCGTTGAAGGGAAAGATTTGCAGATCCAGAGCTCAAAGGTCACTCAATTCTAAGGATAGTGAACCAGATCAAAGCTAAGGTAAAGCTATCATTTTTTGCTAAAATTAGAACGAATTTTTCTGAAAATCTTAAAGAATTGTAGGGATCATCATGATGATGTTGTTATCATTTACAGTTTTAAATTTAGATTTATACTGATATGCTAGGATATACAGTTAAAGGATTATATAATTTGTTAGATAGAATGTTTGATGAAATAAAATTTATTTCTCAATTAGAAGATATAAACAGATCGACTGAAGAACTTGATAGGATTGAAGAAAAGTTAAAAAGATAGGTTGAAGATTATTCTAATATACTACGGATTAGAATGAAATTATATAATAAAATTTAAGAAAGAAGAAATACTAACCTTTAGAATTATTTATGATGTTTAAACTACTAGTTTTATTATATATCAAAGAATGAATTTTTTTAAATATAAGAGACTAATCTCTAAAACTTATGTATTCTTTTACTATATAGAACTAATAAATGAAAATCCATATCATTAAGGGTAATATATACCTTTTAATCAATTTTATAAAAAGCCCAGTCAATCAGGCCAATCATAATAATGCCCCAGTGTTTTTACACTTGTTGTAATTTTTTAAAAAAATTACGAAATTGTTCCGAGGAAGGAAAATTATTTAAGTCAACATTTATTAAAATCATTGATGTTGACAACGTAAAAACTGTTCAAACTTGACCATTATCAATAGTTTCACTGAAGATGTGTTGTAATCTAGAAATTTGGAAAGTTCCTTGAGCCAACAGATTAATCTTAATTCTAGAATTTAATAATTCTAAGTGTCAAAACTTATACTAGGAGAAAAACCTTACCAGCCAAAATTGATAAGTCGAATTCAACTAAAATTTCTATTAAAAATAAAAAATTTCAACGTATATTAATAATTTTGTTATATTTTTATGAATTATACTGTTATACTCAATTAATTAAAATGCTCCTCTAATTCACTCATGGAAATACTAGTAAATACAAAAGGCATGTCATCCATCCAATCAGTCTTGAAAAATAGAAAAGTAATGTTTTTTTAGTTCAATTTCTAGCGAGAATTACATACTAAGAATAAAAATTTACATCACTTAATAAAAATAATAATCAATTTATTTTTCTAAACAAGATAGAGTTATTAACATAATGTTGGAATATTCCAATATTAGATCACACGTTCAGCATGCTCTTCTCCATCTCAGTTGAATATGGCGTCTTCTTCCAGATCCTTCTCCTGTTTGTTATGTAGTTAGTTTGTTAGAAATTTACTTTATAAATAGAGTAATGTATTCACAGTATTACTTGACCTTAATGATTAATAAAATGCTCTTCTTCTCAAGTTCCTTCATAATGTTTTCACATTGAATCTATATTTTAATTTCTTAATATTTTGTTTATTGATTATTCAACAAATTTGCGTGCAAATTTGAATCTATCTTTTAATTTATTAATATGGTATTAGAGAGAAATGTTCCTTCCGTCTACAACTCTATCACTTTCTTCCGCCTTCTTAACTCTGGAATGAAGAAATTGGCCAATGGCTTCCGTTCCACCCTACTGGAGTTTGAGAGAAAGGCGAGATGCATGGAGATTGCACTTGTGGTATCTTGCAGTCTGTGTCTTTGCTGGAGTTTGTTTAGCATTTTCAGTTTTCCTTTTACTCATCAATTTTGATGATGTTTGTTTTCAGCAAATGCCCGATTTCAGAGCCATGAATGCTCGCTTATTCCGGTTGAATTATGTTGCTGTTTTTTTTTCTCTAGATTGCTTTTCTACTGGACATTATTGTCGATCACAGACTTATCTTCCAATGGCTTCTTTTGCATCTCTGCTCTTCTATCTTGAAGGGGGAGTGTTGGAATATTTCAATATCAGATCACACGTTCATCATGCTCTTCTCCATATCAGCTGAATATGGCACCTTCTTCCAGATCCTTCTGCCATCACCAACACATGCTTCTTCTAGATCACTCTCCTGTTTGTTATGTAGTTCGTTTGTTAGAAATTTACTCTATAAATAGAGTATTTGCATCTTTGCTTTTCTCTCTACAATTCAAGATGTTCCATCTTGAGGGGGAAGTGTTGGAATATTTCAATAGTCTTACTCTAGATCCTTTTCCTATTTGTTAGGTAGTTAGTTTGTTAGAAATTTACTCTATAAATAGAGTAGTGTATTCACAGTATTACTCGAGTTTGATGATTAATAAAATGTTATTCTTCTCAAGTTCTTTCAATATGTTTTCATATTGAATCTATTTTTTAATTTTTTAATACATAAAAAATGCAAGAATTATCCCATGATTGACAATTTAAGTTGACTATATCATGAAAATTAATTCTATCGCTTTACAAGGGCTAGAAGGTACCAATTGGAATAATTTGACTTGCTAATTTGAACATAATTTATATTAATGACGTCGTTTTCAAAGTTTCTTATCATTTAAAAACATCCACATGTTTTTGATTTTCCGGCACGGCGGCTTGGGTCCATGGCGGCTGCCATCCCTTTTCATTCACAACTGATACAATCTCTTAAATTTGAGATGTATAATTTGTTTGTTCCATTTACCCTAACGCGTTTATGATGTGATTGAAAATTTCATGTTTAACATGTATGTGAAAATTGCGATTACGATAATATTGAAAATAGCAATAATTAAGACAACAAAGAATTCAAGAATTTTGGCCTTGATTGAGCCACCTTTTTGTAGAATGAGAATGAAAAATATAGTCGTTATTGGGGCCCACACAAGAGATAGAAAATTTAAATTTAAATGTTGATGTGATGGATAACAGTCATATTTTTTCATTTTAATGAGAAAATAAGGTGGCCCAAACGAGGGCTTTACTTATGTTTGGCTTCCTCTTTTTTTTTTTTTTTTTTTTTTAATTCATTTTCAACCACGTATTCTCCTATAAAATAATTTTACATGTAAATCTAAAATTTTTCCTTACTTTTTAATCAAACATTTTCCAGCAATCCATTATTCTAAAATGCAAAAAAAGGAGGGGAGGGAAGGTGGTGCTCAAACAAGGGCATTCAAGCGTGAATTACACAATAGTAGGTACCTATTTTCTAAGAGACGTAAAATTACGCCATTCAAGTGTGAATTACAAAATTGAATCAAATTTGATATCGACTGATAAGCACAATCACTCTTTTTCCCCATATACAATTTACTTGGAAAAGGACTATTTTAACGAAAACCATTGAAAGAGATAAGGGTGAAAAGAGAATGACGTTCAATTTAAGAAAGTCAACATTCAATCGTTGAAATCATATAAAATCACGAGTGACATACTGACATTAAGAATCCGAATAAAAAATCAAGATTAGTGGGTTCAAGAAACAATTATGAATCTTACCACAAAGAATACAAGGATTAAGAAAATTTCCTATAATCAGTTCTTTACATACATATACATACAGACACAAATAG